TTTCGTTACCTGTCTGGTAAGGTAGGAACTCTGCTCATTCACAATCCTTATGGAAAGAGGCTGACAAAGGCTTTGTCACCTTGACTCTGCACCATCAGGAACATGTGACAGGGAAAGGGGGATGGATGAGACACACAAATTCTTAACTGCCTCAGCTCAAAAGTAACACAAGTCACTTCTGCTCACAGATCATTGGCTAGATCCAGTCACATGGCCCCATTCTAACTGCAAGTGCTACCAAGTCCAAGCTCATACTGCTCGCTGCAGGACCAGCCAATAAATGGAGAGATGAGTTGTTGGGGCAAGGAATAGTGACTTTATTCAGAAAGACAGCAGACCGAGAATATGGTGCACTAGTGTCCCAAAGAACCATCATCTCCAAGTTAGAATTCAGGCTTTTTTTTTTTAATACTAAAAGAGAAGAGGGTAAAGTCCTGGCTCCAGCCAGACTCTGGAGGGATGTGTTACTTTCTTCCTTCCTGCAGCCACTCACAGATGGGCCTGGTCAGGTTGCTTCTTGTGAGCTAAACAAAGGTATTTTAGCTTAACGTTCACCACCTGGGCAGCAGGGTTCCCAGAGATGGGCCATTATGTGTAATTTAAGCTTATAGGCAACATCCCTTTAGTGATTAACTTGTAATAGAATGCAAAGGTTTTTCCCTATTATGCAAGGAGAACTACACAAATGTAGGGAAGCATATGGGATTTTTAGTGTGTACTCTCTCTGTCACAAGAGTCCCCAAATCCTTAGAGGAAAATATGTTCTTTCTTGGTACATGGCATTATTTGAAAATTGTGTTTAAAAAAATCTTGTTTTCCATGTATAACTGAAAAATTGTGCTCTACACTGGAATTTGACACAACATTGTAAAATGACTATAACTCAATAAAAAAAGTTTTTAAAAAATCCTGTTTTCTATTTTCCCAGTAATCTCTCAGTTGTTCTGCCTTTAAAATATCTTCCATCTCTCAATCTCTCTCTCCTTCACCCTCTTCTTTTTGTATCAGTTTTCCATTGCTGTGCTAACAAATCACCACACATTTATTTCCTTACAGTTTCCATGGGTCAGGTCTGGGCACAGCTTAGGTAAGTCCTCTGTACAAGTTCTCACAGGCAACAATCAAGACGTCGGCTAGACTGCATTCTCATCCAAGGCTCAACGGGGGAAGGGCCTGCTTCCAAGGTCATTCAGGTTGTTGGCAGAATTCATTTCCTTTTGGCTGTAGGGCTGAGGAGACTGACTCTTTGCTAGCTGTGAGATGGAGGCTGCCTGGAGTCCTCTGCCACTCGAGATTCTCAACATGGCCAGTCACTTCATCAAGCCCACAGAAGAGTCTCTCACCTCAGGGGACATCCTGCCTCTCTTTTAAGGACTTCTTCATCATTAATTCAGAATAATCTCCGTTTTCATTGACTCAGACTCAAATTGAATTGGGACCTTAATTTCATCTACAGATTGTCTTTGCCATATTCTGTTGTCCAGAAGCAAGCCACAGGTCCCACCCACACTCACGGGGAAGGAGTTTCAGAAGGATGTGAACACCGGTGAACAGGAATCATGGTGACCACTCTAGGGTCTGTCTGCCACAGACAGAAATATTTAAACCTACTCAAGTGAAGAGAAGAGTCATATGGTGGATGGAAATATCTCCCAAGAATGAACTGGACAACGTGCTGGGAAATGGAGCTGGGTCTAGGAGCAGTTAGATACCGAGGCAGCTAAGGTCTCCTTTTATTTTTTCCCCTACTATTTGACTTTAAATTTCTTCTTCTTCCAGTTTTATTGAGACATAACTGACATACAGCACTATATAAGTTTAAGGGGTACAGCGTAATGATTAACTGACATACATCATGACATGATGGCCACAATAAGCTTAGTGAATATCCATCATCTCATACAGATACAAAATTAAAGACATAGAAAAAATATTTTTCCTTGTGATGAGAACTTTTAGGATTTCAACTTTCATACATAACATACAGCAGTGTTAATTAAACACAACATATTGTACATTACATATTTAGTACTTATTTATCTTATAATTGGAAGTTTGTACATTTTGATTGCCTTCATCCAATCCCTGCCCCACTGACCTCTGCCTTGGTAATCACAAATCTGATCTCTTCTAGGAGTTTGTTTTTGAAGTATAATTGACCTACAGCATTCTGTTAGTTCCTGTTACACAACAATCATTTGATATTTCTATATATTTCAAAGTGATCACAATAATAATGTCTAGTTATGATAGGTTGCCATCCAAAGATTTACATAATTATTGACTACGCTCCCCACAGTGTACATTTCATACCTGTGGCTCATTTATTTTGTAACTAGAAATTTGTACCTCTTACTCTCCCTCACCTATTTCACTCCTTCCCTTGCTCTCTCCTTTAAAAAAAAAGTCTTTTGCTTGCTCTCTTTTCCTCTTTCCTCCTAGGGTCAGATGGTCTCTGGTTCCTTCTTCCACAGTGTGCATAGTTTATGCATTTTCCGCTTTGTGGACAGAGTGCTCCCCTCAGCCTCCTCACAGCATCTGCCCCTCATGGCTCTGGTCTGCCCGTGGCACTGCCTTGTCATAGTGTCTACTGGCTTCTGCTGTGGCCCTGACTCTGCATGATCTTTCAACTTATCTCCCCAGGGCTAATTGTGGCAAATTCTTGGGGGAAGAATCTAATTGCTTAGCTTGGATCAAATGTCTGTTACTGATCCAAAAAGCTGTGGTCAGGGGAACAGGGTCATCTTGTATAAAGAGGTCACTTAAACAGGAGGGTGTGAGTGAGAAGGCATCCCAGTTCACGTCTTTTATGTCATTCTTGCATCAAACTGGACAGCAGCAGTGGGGAGGTTATAGCTCGCGGGTAGAGTTCATACCTAGCATACACGAGGTCCTGGTTCAATCCATTAAAAAAATAAGTAAAATAAACCTAATTACCTTCCCCTGCAAAAGAAAACAATACTGGACGGCAGCAAATGGAGGTGGACAGTCCTTGCCAGTGGCCTCGGCTTACCCTGGTAGCTGCTCTGGTCCTTACAGCATTATACGGAAAGCCCGTGAAGGCATGAAACTTATTTGTCTTGTCAATTGTTGTATCTTCAGTAGCTAGAACCATGCCTGGCATATAGTGTGCACCCAACTGATATGTATTGAATGGGTGAATGGGAATTTTAATAATAAGATTCAGTATTTCCCTCCAAACTCCCTTTCCCAGAAACTAAAATACTGCAGAGAAGTCAAATTGCTTTCCCCTCCGAACTACAAAATCTGACTGTAGATTTCACTGCTCCCTTTTCTCAGGGTTAAGTGTTGGGCTGAAATGTGAGCACAATGGAGAAAAGTACGTAGGAGGGTGTGTGCCGAGAGGTTGGTGAGGATAATTACTCTATTGGGTGGACTGGATTGAAATAAAATTCTTGATGAAGGGGTAAGAAGTAGGAGCAGAAAGGTCAGGGCAGGATGTACATCTTTCTGTCTTGGTGGAGACCAGAGTGATCTCGAACTAGCACAGCTTGTCCTTATAATGACATCTCTCAGACACAATGAACCCACCCTGAGCCTGGACCCTGCGCCTCGCTGTTTGTTGCATTAACGCTTGCTGCTGGTTCTGTGCCAAACGTGCGTTAAGTGCTCTGTTTCATTTGGTCCTTACTACAAAGGTAAAAGATGGCTATTCACGTACATTTGCTCCTTCACTTCCCATCCAAGACTCTAAAAGAGTTATTTACCTTCACTTATCCATTTAATTTGTTTAAATTCACTTTCATTTTTAATCAAAGTGATACTATATGTAATAGTAAAACTCACATACTACTACAAGGCTCATTATAAAAATAAAAAGACCCCGCTTCTTCCCTCCCACCCCCACGTCCATCCCTGAGTTTCATCCCCCAGAGCTTTCAACACTTGTGATTGTATCTCCTGGTGTTTCCTCACATTTACGGAAGATGGTACAGAGTCTGTAAGTGGGCTGCCTTCCTGCTCCTACTCGGCTCTATAAGCCATGGGGCATGGTCAGCCAGGGGGGTGATGAGGCCTCTAGCATATACAAAGTAGCTCCTAAACAACTCACCTAACATTTACTAGTTCAGCAGACAGTACTGCACTGTTTAAGAGCACAGGCAGACACAGGCTCAAATCCTAGCCCAGTCTCACTCTACATCTCTAAGCCTTTGTTTTGTCACCTGTAGAGTGGGGCATGACAACACTCGTAACAAGACTGATACAAAGGTCAGAGTGTGGGTGCGGGCAGTCAGGTGTCCTCAGACATGGCGCCTGCTCCATTCCATCAGAGACACCACGTCTGG